TTTTGAGAATTTGATAACGATCTGAGGTGTAGTGTTCATACTCATCCAGGAGTGCCGATCTTAACATGTCGTATGTGTCACTTGATGGCTCTATACCACGGATGGCTGTCATAGCTTCCCCTTGTAAGCTTTCACAGAGATAATTAACTTTTTCAAGCACTGATAACGCTTGGTTTTCATGAACCATTCTGTTGAATCTGGCCCAATATGATTTAAAGTTTTCGGGTTTTCCGTCAAATTTCGGTAACGAGAATGTTTGAGGTTGCATGGGAACTGCAATGTTTCTTTGATTCGATTGACTCAGGAGATGGACTAATTGAGCTAAAAGAGTGTTTGTGTCTGGCATACTTTGTTGAATGGTCGGTTGGGCCCCCGTTGTTGGATAATCAGGCCTTTCGTAAACACTGTTTTCTCTCTGTAGCTCTCTCTCGAGAGACTGCTCGACTGAATTGGATAAAGCGCTAACGCGTGGATACAATTGAGCTATACTGTCTGTTAATGTGAGGATTGCTGTTTTTGCGAGAGTGCGGTTCATTTGATATTCTTTATTGTCTGCGATTTCGCGATAAAGTTCGTCCAAAGTAGTACGTGCGGTTTCCTTGGTTTTGAAGTACATCAACTGGAACTCAGATTCCGCCTCTGCGATGAGACGAGTTTGAGCTTGGAACTGTTCCTTCACTCGTTCATATTGACTTAACTTTTCATTCAGAATGGTAAGATTGTCTAAATCGCTCTTATCTGCCTGAGCACAAGGTACTGGTTCGTTCAAGAGCGAATCATACCGATTATTAAGGGCAATTGTGAAGGAGTATGCGTCTTTCAGCCCGGTAAGTAACGGAGAAGCCATTGAGACTGTTAATTCGTCCAGTTCACTAGTGAACTGACCTGACGCAAACGAGGTTATCGTGGAGTGTATGTTTGTTGGTGGGGAACTGATTTCTGGTTCCCTGTTATGTTTGATTAACGCGGACTTATGATTGCCACGGGAGGTGTGGATTTATGATTACCACTGGTTAGTTTGGTTACCT